CAGCTATGGGCTTGGGAAGTCCTACTCCAGTAGCGTTGGGGTTAGGAAACTCACCAAGCATGTCAGAGAAAAATGAGTTGAATCCATATCTCTCATAGCTCTCATATTACAAACTCACCAGAGGGGACCAGCAGGAATTGGGGGAGGCTCTGTTCCCCCAGGCACCCCCTGGGGTTACTAGGAATAATGGCCACAAATTATTAGAGAGAAGGTTCAGACTGGACATCAGGAGACATTGCTTTACAGTTAGGGCTGCCAGGCTCTGGAATGGGCTCCCAAGTGAGTTGGTACTCTCTCCTACCATGGGGATCTTCAAGAGGAGAGGCTGGACAGATATTTGGCTGGGGTGATATGACCCTGGCACCTGTTCCTGCCCAGGATAGTGGGTTAGACCTGATGATCTGTTTAGGTCCCTTCTGACCCTAAGCACTATGATACTATGATATCCTGAAATCATGGCTAAAGGATTGCATACGTATTTTGGGACTCTTGCTTGGGAGCCCTTAGGGGGCTCAGGAATTTATAGCTATGGACAGAGACAGCATTTACTCAGCCTTATGCATGCTGAATGCCACCCAGGTAAATTTTTGGTCTCAGGGAGAATTCTTAAGTTTGCCCATACTGCTTGATATCTATATACTGTACCTCTTTGCAGCTACTGAATTTAGGATCCTAGCCATTTTTATAGTTATTTTTCTGTACATTTTCAGCAAAAGTACTTATCATGTACTTAATGTAAAAAAACCAGCAAGTTCTATGCAAAAGCTATTTGTGGGCCAGTCTAGACTCCCTAGAATGTCCAGGTTCATGAAAAAACTTTCAGCTGTTCCCTGTTCTTTGTGAGGCACTATGCACGTGCCCCATCAATATTCCATGATGCTCACCAACATCAAATGTAGTGGGGTATGCTTCTGAGACACATTCTTAGGGTGTTCTCACAACCTCAGGCGACACGTGGGGGGTGCACACAGGTGCATGTGTGCCCCCTGAGCATGGTGGTACATCCCCAGCAAAAAGGGGTGCCTGCAGGGTGTCGCCACTTGCCATCCTGCCACCAACACCACCGGCAGTCCACACTTGCCCCTGGCTGCTGCTGCCACTGCTCACCCCCCACCCTGCCGACAGTGCCAGCAGCGTTTGTGGGAGCTCCCAGCTTACTGCCGCAGCTCTCCCACCACTGCCACCGCGCTTCCGCTGCTGCCAGCGTAGCCGTGCCACCCCAGCGGCTGGGGGCACACGCCATTCATGCTCATAGCCCCAGCCTCTTTCTGCCATCTGCTGCTTGATTACTGAGAACAGATTGAGATGCTCCAAAGGTCACCTCCCTGCCCTATGGTACCTCAGCTTTACCTGCCTCACCCAGGTTTTGCCAGCTCTTAGCACTGGGGATGTTGCCAGCTAGGAGAATCATACCCTTGTTCGCTCTTGCACTCAGAAAAGATAGATTCCCCCTTCCAGAATAGAGGCCTGTTCTGAGATCCCAGTTAATGCTGACAATAAGTGAGTAAAAAACCCCACAAAAGAATCTATTATAAAATCAAGAACAAACATAAGAAATCAGTAACTGTATGTTGATATGCAGACAGAAATATAAGAACAAACAAACAAAATACCTGAAAAATAACCTGTTCTTATCCTGTATCTTAAATCCAAGAATGCAGTCCCTTCCCAGCTCAGCAGGTTAGAAGGCAACTCCTGTCACTGACCTCTCTGCCAGGACCTTCTGCAGTTTCTCTGTCAGCCTCCTTTACTCACCCTGCTAGCTGAAGGACTGCAGCCTTCCCTGTACCCAAGAGACAAAATTTTGCTCTCAAGGCAAGGCTTAAGTATAGTTTCTTTTCTGGCCAATCACATACCTCATCTATTGGATTCTCAGGAGGCCCATATTCTTTGTGGGCCTGTGGAAAGCCCTGCAGCTTCTGTGCACAGGTCTGTGGCTCAAGGATTGGGCTCTTAAGTCACCTCAAGACCCATCAGTGAACTCTGGTAGACATCATCCTTGAACTGAGGGACTGCTGATAACTAAGAAGGCTAAGCATACTGGGCTGCATTAGTAGGAGCATTGCCAGCAGATCAAGGGAAGTAATTATTCCCCTCTATTCAGCACTGGTGAGGCCACATCTGGTGTCCTGTGTCCAGTTTTGGGCCCCCACTACAGAAGGGATGTAGACAAGTTGGAAAGAGTCCAGTGGAGGACAACAAAAATGGTTAGGAGGCTGGGACTTATGAGGAGAGGCTGGGAGGACAGGGCTTATTTAGTGTGCCCAAGAGAAGACTGAGGGGGGATTTGATAGCAGCCTTTAACTACCTGAAGGGTGGGTACAAAGAGGATGGAGCCAGACTGTTCTCAGTGGTGTCAGATGATAGAACAAGGAGCAATGGTCTCAAGTTGCAACAAGGGAAGTTTAGGTTGGATATTAGGAAGAACCTTCTCACTAGGATGGTGGTGAAGTACTGGAATGGATTACCTAGAGAGGTGGTGGAATCTCCATCTTTGGAGGTTTTTAAGGCCCTGCTCGACAAAGCCCTGGCTGGGACGATCTAGTTGGGGAAGGTCCTGCTTTGAGCAGGGGCTTGGACTAGATGACCTCCTGATATCCCTTTCTATTATTCTATGATTCTGTGATTCTAAATGTATAACTTCTTGCCCCTTCCAAAGGTGCATGTGTTTAACAAAGCAGAAATCTTTCTTGATCTAATTATGACCAGGAGAATATTTACATCCTTGAAAACAACAATTACTAATCCAATATCCTAAAGATCCTGTGTCTCTTAATTTCCTCCACAACACGCCAACCTCCCCACACTATATTTGGGGTCATGATGTATGACATGATAGGGAACTTAAGCACTATGAGGTAGGTGACAGATGAGCGTCAGTTTTACAGATGTCAGTGGCACTCACATGAGAGATTTAGGCACTTAACTGTATGTATGGTTTGGGCCTACTATGCAGTGTGGATATTGCATAGTGACTTCAGTGGAGTTACTGACCATGTAGAGTTAAGCATGTGCATAAAGCTTTTCAGGGTTGTTCCCTGCATATTGGAACTGTTGTCTCTATCAGGCAGTTTGGAAATGTTTAGGTATATTTGAGTAGAAACTTGTTCTGTTCATGTTCCAGAACTCTTAGAGATGTTTAAAGGTAAAGAGATGCTGCTCTTGACCAATATTACAAAAAGTAATGTGGGACTCACTGAACTAATGAATTAATCTTATTTCACTTCTTATTCAGTCTCATTCTTTCACATATTAATGTTCTCTTTGATAGTATACCCAGGCCTGTAACTCTCTTCCAGTCTCAAAGTACAAGGCAGCCATCCTCCCTCTATTCTAATTCCTTCTCAATACTTCTTTTGTGAAGTCTCCAACACCAATTCATCTTAGTAAAAGGTTATTGTTATTCTTAAAACACTGGATAAAATAGAGTCTTTGTCTAGGTCTCTGATTTTATTTTGTGTTTAAACTGTAAGCTCCTCTCCTGTAGGACTGTTTTTCTTGTAAAGTGCAAAGCAATGGAATTGGGGTTTTAATAAATAATTATGACAACACTGGAAAATAGGAAGTATGTTTTTATACAGTATACAAAAATGTGGAAGTGACTGCCACAAAGAAAATGAACTATAGCCCTGGGGTTATATGAAAGTAGGAGGGTAACTAAAACTGATGACAAGGTAAAATAATGCATTCTTTAGGGAATAAATTGACTGCCTATGGGAACTAGAAACAAGTATTTGCTAAAAAGTTAGCTCAGAGCCATATGCAATAATGTCAGTGTTGTAAGGTGCAACAAATCACAGAAGAATACTTATAAGGGACTAACATTTATTTCCTAACCTCCGCCATCTGACAAGGTTTCCAGGTTACAAAAGGTAAACCGACCCCATGACAGGGGTCAGTATTTGTTGGCTCCTAACATTACAGAGATATAGTTGTCTTTCCATAAAGCTGTTACTCATTTTTTGCAGCCTAGATTTTGGCTTAGATTGACCACTGTTCTGTTCTCTGCAGAATCCTAATTGCCTTCCTGGCTTGGCTTGTGAAATGCAGACACTGTTTAAGATTTTATAAATGACCGTAGGTGGTTGTGGTGTCACAGGAGGCGTGGAAATAGAATATTTTTCCCACAAGGAGGTGAGAACAGCATGATCACTGTTGAGTGACCTCGACTCAAATGGGAACTGAGAGTGCTCAGTATCTTTCAAGGACAGTCCCTTTTCAGTCTCAGTTCTGGCAGGGGAGAGGGAATATAAAACAAATGGATGTAAAAGCAACTCAGAATGCTTTCCATGATAATCCTAACATTTTTTTTTTTTGCATAATGTAGGTCTTTCACAATGCAGTTTCGTGATCATTTACTTATTTTTACTTAAAATAACCTGAGAACTTTGAAACATTTCCATTTCACATTTTGTCTCCCATGTATGAATTCTGTGACACCATTGCTAAAAACACATGAAAAAACTGCTGAACTAGATTGCCATGAAGAAAATAAAATGGATAGAACTTGTTATTCAACCTGTATCATAAACCATCAGAAACATCAGTCTGCTTTAACTCAATAGGCTTTTATTGAGACCTATTTTGGCAGCATTTTGGAATTCCTGATCAGTGCTTTTGTAAGTGTTCCTGTTGACATAGGAATGGCATTTCTTATTCAGGGCAAATAACAGGAGTCATATCACTTAGTTCTGGGAATGAAAGCTGTACACATAGATTGTTCTTAATTCAGTGTTGCTCAAAAGTGCAAACATTTGATTTTTTTTGAAGTGCTGATATTCAGTTTTTAAAGGTCACTGGAGTATTTAGCTTGGGATGTTTTATGTAGTAATAGATAAATAAAAGAGAGACCTTTTGTCCTGCCCAGACAACATTATGTCTCTTTTTCTTACAATTTGCTTGTTGAATATATTATTTGCTGTTCTCTAGTGTTTGCTTTAGTGAAAATAAAATGGGCATGAAATAAAAATAACAAGTTTGCATTCTCACTTTTCATGTAGGAATTTTAAAGGAAACTCAAGTGCCTCTTGTGCAGAAGCAGAAGAACGTAACAGTGGCCACAATATGAAAACTGGAAATCACAGCAAATAAATGAAAAATGAAAAGTGTCAGGTTTGAACTTAATTGATGTCTGCCCATTATCACCTCCATCTGCTTTACCTAGGAAAGGCTCCTATTTGACTCTTAGGAAGTTTTACATAGGAGGACTTCAGGATAAAGACATTTGTGGATGACCCCTAAGTTTTTAAGGATATTGGTAAGATAGTTCTGAGGAATTTATGATGCTTTGGTCAGCTGTAAACTCAGTACTCAGAGTTACTGGTCTAATTTGTTTCTCAAGGACTGAAAACCTGTTTTCTTTTAGAAATGTTAACCAGAAAAAGAGACTGAGACTGTTGTCACTGTTGATCTCCCATAGCTCTTGTTTCTCTGGTTCACCACTTCATTTCAGCAGTACCATAGTTACAAGGTGTGCAACCAATTGAGCCTAATGCATGTATAAAAATACACGCATTAATTCTTACTCTCAATAACTTTGTTTAGGTCTTTTAAATAGTTTGCATGTATTACTGTTTAAGGAAATAGGAGCTTCAGTATCAGCGTACTCCTGTAGGAAATCACATGGTCAGAATAAGCAGTGCACATTGCGGAAGTTGTTCTATACATTATCACGTGAGGTATCTTTCTCAGAAAAGCTCCAAGCTTTTTCTCAGACAAATTTGAGGTATATTACTTTAAAAACCCACAATACCAGAACCTGGTGGCTCTGGCTTCTCTGTTTTCATTATTTGTCTTTCCAGAGATCCTGCAGGCATGCTGTTTACATTTAGGATCATCTTTCACATCCAAATGAAACACAAATGTCCTTGTATGCTCCAGGAAAGTGACTAATTCAGGAGTTTATCTGCTGCAGTCCTCAGAACCTGACTGGTTTTTTAATTACCTAACTTCCAAGGCATTTGCTTTTTGGTGTGTGTTTCTTTAGTGTCTTGTACAGCATGACCTATTTTTTAACATTTTGTTCTTCTGACTTCCCTCTGATGAGCTGATTGTTTTACATCATTATCTGATTTCTCTAGCTGTTATCCAGCTCAGTAACTAACTTTTCTTTTTCCTTGTGAGAGTGCTTTGGGAGGTGTCTGATTTAGAAATCATTCAGGTCACCATAGGAAAAAATCCAGTTATTATCACATTCAGACACGGAGGGAAAACTTGTGTAGGATACCTTTTAACTTGCTTCAATCTCTGTTGAAGCCCACTACTTGGAGAAAAAACGCCAAACAGATTTTGTTTTGACCTTTTGGCATTTCTGTGTAGGGATTAAAAAACTATTCTTTGTCCTTATTTTGCAGCTGTAGAAGGATATCCAAACCTTTAACATTGCTTATGGAAAGGATCAACAGTTCAAGCTTCAAGGCGTTAGGTTGAAATATGTTTTCAGTTTCTAGTCAGACTTCATCCCAACCTCTGACATTTTCTGCATTCTTTACTAGTTTTAACTCTCATTGCAGTTTCTGTCATTCTGAGCAGGTTGCTTTTTGTAAAACATGCTAAATTAAATATGGGAATTGTAATAATTACTGTTTGTTTTAATTCAAAGCCAAAGGACTCATATTTCTGTAGGCATCAGGTGAGCTCCATTCCCACAGTACCTTCAGATGAAAATGTCTCTTCACAGTACTATCAGTCTCCCATAGTAGTGTGGGACCTTCTGTACATTAATTCCCCATACAGCAAGAAAGAAGAGGAACATAATAAGGTAATGAGTGGCAGGAGATGCTAAGAACTGATAGTTTTACTCTGGGTATTTGAGGTATTATTTTTTTCTCTCTAGAGACCCTCATGGAAATCTTTACATCTGTACTGAATAGAAAAAAACAAAATGTTAGGAAAAAATATTTGTTATTTAATCCTGTAATATCTTCTAGGTCAGTGATTCTCAACTAGGGTGATGTGGAGTCCTTTTAAAGGTGCTGTGGGATGCCATGAATTATGCAAACACTAGCACATGATTTACAAGATAAATCCAGAGGTTTCAAATAAGAGCCCAGAGTCAATTCTGACCTGGTGTGGTCTGAGTTAGTTGCAACAGAAGAATCGCGTTATTATTTTTCTGTAGTCAAGAAATGAATGAAAACTAAGAGCTGGCATTTTCCAAGCTAGGACCTTACGTAAGCCTGACCTTGAGCAACTCACAGACAAAATACTTGCAGAATTAGCTTAAAACAAGGGTGGCCAACCTGCAGTATGTCAAGTAGCATGGGCAGCTTTTTCATGTGGCAGACCTGGGAGGGGATAGGCAACAAAATGGCAAATAAGGCAAGGAGAAGAAAGAGCACCTGGACTCCCTGGCACCTCACCTTTGACCTGACCTGTACTACAAACATGGACAGTGTATTGATTAGATGTATGACTCTGACCTCTTTGCATAGCATCACCTTCAGATTTGGATCCCCAGGCCAGTACTTGAATCCAAGATAAGGCTTCCTTCTCTTCCATGTTGATTGAGGGAAAAAACCTTGTCTTGGATTTGAGTAAATATAGTATACAGGTTTCCCTCGCTTTATGCTGTAAATGCGTTCCTGGAAAATGGTGCATAACTCGAATTTGCATAAAGGGAACCCACTTTACAATGTAACAAATAGGGATACGTTTCAAGACCTCAACTGTACTGATCCCCAGACCCAATTCCAGCACCTTTACAAGACAGTTTTAGTACTCGCCAACAGCAGACAGTACACACAAGCACAGGGTAGTGGTGAATGTTCAGTTGGCATGAAGAGAGGGTGGTGAAGAGTCTCCAGTGTTCGTGAAGTTCTCTTGCACTTAATTGATGGACCAGGGAAAGGGGTAGGAGATAAGCTAGCAGAGCACTTAGAAGCCATAATGGGGATGGCAACTACAGAAACACGTGTCACAGATAACAAGCGAGGAGCACAGATCCACACAGGAGACTATATATTGGTGCGCGTCACTCCCACAATGCACCGCACAAAGCAGCTGAGTGTGGGCTTCCACCACACCAATCGCGTAAGAGTGAATTTACCTCGCATATAATGAATTTTTGGTTTAAAAAGGGTCATCGCAAAAGAGCAAATTTGCACATGCAGAACCGGCATAAAGCACAGGAAACCTGTATACTCAGTGCAGCTGGTTCTGCACTCAATCAGTTTGGTGTTCACAGCTGGTGTTGCTCTGGGCCAGGTGTCCCTGCTTAGAGGGAGATTGCCTTCTACCAAGAACATAGAAAGTCCTATTTTCCATTTTAATTGATGACGGTTGACAGTTTGTGGCTCGAAGATTCTTTTAGCCAACAATTCACCCAACTCTTCTCTCTAGGCTTTTTCATCAGGATCACGTTATCACTTTTTCTGAGCTTGTCAAGCTTTCTGCTCTCCTCTGTCTGAGTCCTGTCTCTGGCATGCACCTACACAAAACAACGTTCAGCAAAGCCTCTCTACCCAGATCGTTCTAATTCTGAGCTGACTTGCATATGCCTTTGTTTTGGTAGGTGACATGTGCTTGTTTTGATTTCAAGCCCCCTATTGTTTCTAACATTTAACCTGAATGAAGGTCAGCTGTTCTCAATGGTTTCAGCAAAGCCCCTGTCCATTAGCCTTTCAAACCTGGCTGTCACCTTGCACCAGGCCAAAACCATCACTTGCAATTGTGATAGGCCTTGTTCGCTGTAAAAAACTCCCAACCCAGTCTATTTATTTGATCTATATGCCACTCTTCCCAACAGAGAGTC